CTGATGAGTCGGTGAAACTCCGACGAAACAGTTTGTCACAGCCCCTCGTTTGTTGTCCTCTTCTCCCTCTCTGCCTACGGTTTACCGGGCAGTTCTATTTGAGGATATATAAATATATATATATATGCGTGATGGTGATAGTCTACTCTGATATATATATGCATATGAGAAACCGATGCAGTAACGGGTGGGGAGATATCGAAGGTTCCCCCACTCAGTCTACCAAAAGATCCTTCAATGAATTGTTCGGTGAGCCGTAAAAGGATAAACCAATCAATCAATCAACCAATCAATCAATCAATCAATCAGTAAGACAGTGACACCCTCACAAAGCAATCATTCAATCAATCAGTCAATTGATCAATCAATCAAACAATCAAACAATGAGTGTGACAATGTGACGAAGTGACAATTGACCAAACAATGATATTGTCTATCGAATGATAAAACAATTGACGTTCACGATGAACGCAGATATTGCGGAGTCGTTAAAAAAAAAAAAAAAACCCTGCTATGACATGTGAAGTGACGACGTTCACAGACGGGAAAGCGAGCAACCGACCAATCTGGATAGAGAGAAAGAGAGATGGATAATAGTCCTAGAATGCTACAAATCGTAGAGAGAGAGAGAAAGAGAGAGAGAGAGAGAGAGAGAGAGAGAGAGAGAGAGAGAGAGAGAGAGAGAGAGAGAGAGAGATACAAGTCCTTCCGAAAGAAAAGAAAAAAAACAGTACTTGTGCTCGGTGCAACAGCTGTGCGCGCGCACACACACACACACACACACACACATCGCCAATTGCGCTATCTCCACGGACATGGTGGCGGCGCACCATGAACATCCACATGATGGGCCACATGTCCGATCAAGGCAGCCCTGACCCTCGCGCCGAGGTCGGAGCCGTAAGTCGGATCAATCTCCAGCACGGCTTCGATGTTCAGATCAGGAAGGTGACGTGGAAATCGACGGTTGCGGTACCGGCGTCGACGTGGGTTGCGTAGCTGCCCGTCACCCTTGCTGTCGGTACTGTGGTTCAACAGCTCCGGGTCGATCTCCACCCTGTGCTCAATCATGAGGTTGTGTAGTATGCACACAGCCATGAATTCCTTGCGCAGCGTCTCCAAATTCGTGATCTGAGTGCGGATGAAATTCCTCCACACGGTCTTCAAACGTCCGAATGTCCGCTCTATACAGGATCTCACCGCTGAGTGACATCCGTCGTAAGTGCGATCTGCATCAAATCAGGCGAATCTTCCCATAGGTGTCACGATCCACGGGAGAATGGGGTAACCGGCATCTCCAAGCAGGTAACGACCCACGTGTGTCCCGTCGTGCAGGATAGTTCCACCTTCGCATAACACACCTCTGCCTGCCATGGTGTTGTGGTACAGCGGTGACATACGCAACACACGAGAGTCGTGCACGGAACCAGGGCAACCGACATACACGCTGACAATTCTGCACTCGCTATCACACACCACCTAGGTGACGACAGAGAAGTCTTCAGTGTGATGATAGTAGCACTCTGACCGCGTGCCCTTCGGCTTGTCAATGTACACGTTTGTGCAGTCGATGGCCCCCACACATCCGGGAAACCCCTTCGCCTCGAAAGCGTTCTGGACCTCTTCCAAACGCCTTCCTGTGGGGAATTGGAGCAGGTGCCCGTACTCGTGGAGGATAGCATCTGCGACGTCCTCGTTGCTTCTCACCGCACTGGCAAGGCCCATACCCAAACTGTGGGACAATTGCCGGTGTACCCTCCCGCCGCCCATCGGATCAGTGCGCAAGCGAACTTCTGTCCGGCCGGTAGAGGCAACCGAAAGTTGGTAGGTGAGCGCTGGATATGAGGGGTGATGCGATGGAGAACTTGCAAAAACAGAGGTCTTGGTAATCTGCAAAACCGCACGAACACCTTGTCGTGCTCCGCACCCACCCTTTGCAGGTCCTTCTACAGAACTCCGCTGCGCTCCAGCATCCACACCCGCCTTCTCCGACAGTTCATGTGTCTTCCCAACTCCTGTGTTGCGAAGAAGCTCAAGGCCATGTCGTGAACCACCCCCCCTGCAAGCATCGTCAGCGCCCCCGACACATCCTGGAACATGAACAGGGTGATGGCGACTGCTTCAAGAATGGCCATGGCCTCAGCTTTGCGCCTATTCACCCACTGGGTCATGAGGAGAACGAGCATGAACATCATGTCCTCCCACTCCTCATCCGCAGTAGGCACATCCGATGGAGACATGGCCACAATGTCACTGTTTTGCACAAAGCGTCGGCCCTTGCACACCACCTCTGCGGAACGCGTGACGATAGCAACACCTTCCACAACCCCTATTCCTCGGCAACCCCTCCACCACATTCGCCGGCTATGGCTTCCCGTCAGTGTTCCGTGCATGCACGCTCACTCTGGAAGGACCGCGTCGGGGAACAGAGTTCTCCAATAGCCACTAGGGGGGGCGGGCGAGTGTTTGGGGGCGATGGAGTGGGACACCCGCCGATATTCCCAACGGTCATTTCCGGCCACGGAAGGCCCCGGCGGCGTGCGGACCAGGCCACCCCGTTGTGATGTATGCGGTACCTGTGTGGCGTGTGCCACACGCGGTTGCGCACGGCCACACACGGACATGTCCTGGTGCATGCCGACAGAAGGGCCTGGACCACATCCCCGATCCTACTTGCCTTTTCGGGGAACACCCTGGCCGTATTTCCTAATCGGGCATGGAAAAGAGTTTCCAG